ACAGATACTCAAAAAGTGTACTTAAGTACAATACTCAAGTAAATGTACTTAGTTACTGTCCGCCTCTGGGAATATGTATATTGAAAAATGTGTATTTGTGCCTATACAGTGAAAGTCAATGGAGTCCAGTGTTTAAAATTTTATCAACATACAATTGTAATAAAAACAATTTAAAACATAGGGATGAATTGAAATATACTTTTAATACACACCTACAATATATAATATTAAAACATAACACTAGTAGTATTTTGTTAGGTTAACAAATAAATAATAAAGGAGTAGATCTATTATATTAAAAAAAACAAGAACGTTATTGATGATAGAAGTTATTTTCATGCCACTCCACTTTCTTCTCTAACTCTTCCTAAAGCTTTCAGGCTACGTGAACTAAATGCCCCCACAACCACCCAGAAAAACTTTCCAGCCATCTAGAAACCAACTGCTTACCAATGCCCTAGCAATTTTCCAGCTTTCAAGTCTTGATTCAAACGTCCAAAGTATTAAAACCAAGGCCTAAATAACCTTCATGATTTAAGGCTTGGTAACACAATTACCAACTTTCCTTTTCTAGTCATTTCTGCACTTCTGTTTGGTGATGCTAGTGGCACAGAAATTACACTTTCACCTACCTTAATCTATAGTAGATTTATTCAGAGACATGTTTTTATATTTATGTGCTGCCACCTAGTGGTTGTATTTTCACTGAATAATTATTACACAGTAATAATGTGTAGTCGATTGTATTTTTACTACATTTGATATTTTACTTCAAATAGCTTTAAGTAAACAGTCTCGTGTGTACAAGCAATCATTGTAATTCATGTTTCTATAAAGCAGAATAAGTCGTTTGTATTTTAAATCAGGGGCTGCTGTATTAGAATGCTGCAGAACTATAATGTCCACAGAGATCAGAGATTGGCCAGAGCATAAGGTACAGCCACACAGCAGATGCTCTAGAGCAGACAGTGTGACAGATTTAGCTTCAGGAAATATCACAGGCAGAAGGTTGCTGCTGGCTTTAGGGGTCCAACTTGCACCACAGACTCACATTTTGTCAGAAAAATACAATTACTTCATAGTTTGTACATACAATTTGTCATTTTATGCATGGATCAAATAAGCCACTTGTAAAATACACCACTCCCCTATGTTAAAGGTGTAATTCGGCCAAAAATGAAAAAGGTTTACATTTCTTTCATGGCACAAAAACAAAGCTTCTGAGCTTTACAAAAAGGACACAAAAGCACAGTGAAATCACCCATATGACTTGTGCACTATATTCTTTTGAAGTAATATGCTTTTTTGGGGTAAGAAACAGGGTACTCCTTTTTAAAGCTCGAAAGCTACAGTCCCCATTTATAGTAACTGTATGAAAAAGAGCAACCAAAATATCTTCTTTTTGTGCGATACAGCAGGATTATTTTAATATCACTGATATACTATTATATTTTTGCTAATATTTTGAATTTGATTTTATATTTTGTATACATTTTAACAAATGTAATTTTTTGTCACCTTAGTTTTTCTTTTTAAAATGTCTTTCTATACATTTTTGGTTTTTAGATTTAGTTTATTTATTATTTTATATTATTTATTTATATAATATTTATAATAAAAAAAATAAAATGATATATATATATATATATATATATATATATATATACACAG